AGAAAGAAAGAAAGAAAGAAAGAAGAAAGAAAAAAAGAAAGAAAGAAGAAAGAAAGAAAGAAAGAAAGAAAAAGAAAGAAAGAAAGAAAGAAAGAAAGAAAGAAAGAAAGAAAGAAAGAAAGAAAGAAAGAAAGAAAGAAAGAAAGGGGGGCACCTGGGTGGCTCAGTCGTTGAGCATCTGCCTTCGGTTCAGGTCATGATCCCAGGGTCCTGGGATCGAGCCCCACATTGGGCTCCCTGCCCCGTGAGACCCTGCTTCTCCCTCTCCCACTCCCCCTGTTTGTGTTCCCTCTCTAGCTGTGTCTGTCTGTCAAATAAATAAATAAAATCTTTAAAGAAAGAAAGAAAGAAAGATAGAAAGGGAGGGAGGGAGGGAGGAAGGAAGGAAGGAAGGGCCTTGCTCTCAAGGATGTGAGAATAGACATAAGAAACACGGAAAAAAATGAAACAAGAGCTACTACTGGGAGATCCACAGAAAGAGCCACATTTATCTGGCCACAAATTTCAACCCTGAAAGAGGCCCCTGGGGATATTTGGGGAGCAGCCTGAGCTGCTTTCAGCTTCCCTTCCTGGTCACTGATAATACTTTTCTTTTTCTTTTTAAGATTTTTATTTATTTATTGAGAGAGAGAGAGAATGATAGAGAGAGAGAGCATGAGAATAAAAGGGAGAAGCAGACTCCCTGCTGAGCAGGGAGCCCCATGCGGGACTCAATCCTGGGACCCCAGGATCATGACCTGAGCTGAAGGCAGTCGCTTAACCAACTGAGTCACCCAGGCGCCCCCACTGATGATACTTTTTCCAAACTCCTTAATATAGTCATTTCCTGCTTGGGGGTATCAAATTCTACAACTTTAGTATCCATTATGTTCATCAAAAACCTAACACAGCATCATGGTTAAGAACAGGGACTCCGTTCCAAAGCTTCCTAGCTTGGGTGACCTTGGCAAGTTACTCATCCTCATAGAACCTGCATTTCCTCATCTGTAAAAGAATATTATAACCTGCTTCCCAAGATTATTGTGATTACACTAAATAGTACTAAAAAGGCACAATGGTGCCACAAAATAGTAAATACTCAGTAAATTTTAGCTCTGATTTTTCCTAAGCGTACTTAATCTTTTTTTTTTTTTTTTAAGATTTTACTTATTTATTCGACAGATAGAGAGACAGCACAAGCAGGCAGAGTGGCAGGCAGAGGGAGAAGCAGGCTCTCCGCCGAACAGGGAGCCGGACGCGGGGCTCAATCCCAGGACCCCGGGGACCATGACCGGAGCCGAAGGCAGCCGCCCAACCGACTGAGCCACCCAGGCGCCCTTATTTGGGTTTCAAAAAAAAGCCCTCAAAGGGGATTTGGTGAGGATGTGTGGCCACTTTGGGAACATTTTATCCTTCTGTACCTCTGTTCCCTGTCACTTTCATGCCCCTCTTCAGTTCTCCTGATCTCTTCAGGGCCCTCCCCAGTACCTTGACACGGTCGCACATGGGTCCAGTGTGGCTGCCAAAAGCCTGGTACCAGAGCACGAGGATTCTTATCTTGGGTGAGGCCACTTTCCTTTCCTGTTCCTGGGCTTCCCTTCATTGCTTGGGTTCAGGCCACCTAAGTACTGCGTGTACTCATACATGGAAGAGAGATCACAGGAGACTGGAGTCCCATACTCTGGGGTAAATCTAGAAATTAGGGCGCGACAAAGAAGCCCTGGTAAGGGAAAGATGCAGGGGTTGCCTTAGCTAGCTTTTGCTTCAGAGGTCTAGCAGTTTAACAGGCCCTGGGAGAAGGCTGAGAGAGCCGTTGTCTGAGTAAGGCCTGTTCACTTCCTTAAAGAAGTATAAGCCGGGCCGCGACTGCTCCTCTGGTCTGCGTGACAAACACAAGACAAAACAGGTGTGCAAATAAACTATGAACTTAAATTCCTAAGGGTTGTTAGAGATTCCCCCTCCACAGTAGGCCCCTTTCAGAGAGCGGCTCCTTTAAGAGGCGGGCCCCATCCTCGCTAACAAAGGAAGTCCCCGCCCCTGGTTGCCAGGGTGCTCTATGGCGTTGCATTCTCATTGGTGGGCGACGGTGGGTGAAGCGCCCAGAGACAGCCATTTCCAACGAGCTGGCGGGGGTGAAAGATGGCGACGCCCCTCGGGTGGTCGCAGGGGGGGTCAGGATCAGTGTGTCTCGCCTTCGATCAACTGCGGGACGTGATCGAATCTCAGGAGGAACTGATCCATCAGCTGAGGAACGTGGTACGCAGCCAGAAAAGCTGGGGGAGAGGCCAGACTGGACACCTAAATGGAGGGGGCGGGGCCAAGCCCTGTCCCGAAGCCATTGGCGACCTTAGAGCACCTTGCCAATGGCGTCATCAGGAGGAGGCGGGGCCCAGATGTGTTCTAGGTGGTAGGAGTGGAGCCAAAATGGGGCAAGGTCTTCATGAATATTTACCAGGGAATTTAAATCAAAAAAGTTGTTTTCTACTCTGATTGTGTAAGGCCTGGTAGTTATGTCCCGGTCTATTCACCGAGCCTCACTTTCCCCATTTCTAATTGGAGATGACTTCGTTGGCTTCCCAGGGCCCTCAGGTGCAGGCACTGAAACTATAACATCTTTTCTATTGTGGACATCCCCTTCCCTGTGTCTAATGCAGCGCCATGCTGAGTGCCGTAAGCACAGGTTTGTCCCTTACACATGTTAACTTAAGGGCTTCTGACCCCTTTATGTCCCTTTGCTTTTGCCTTCTCAAGCAAACCCTCGTTCGCAAGTTCAAAACGTGGAGTCACAGATTACCTGGCACGGTAAAATCCTGGCCAGTTGGAGTTCATGGTTTTTCCCCCCCCTTTTTTTTATATCTTGATAAGAAGGTCGTGAGATAGCTCCATCTAAGAAACAAAACTGACTTAACAACTATTTCTCACTCTAATGGGTGTGTGCAGCTCTAGGCACTGAATTACCTGCAATTCCCTGAGGGTACCCAGCTCTTTTTCTTCGCAGCTGGCATTTGCATGTGTGTTCTCACCCGAACAGTCTTCTATCCCACCCCTTCTGGCCTGCCCCTGTTTAGCAGTCAGATGTCCTGTCTGATGATCCTTCTCTGGACGCAATTCTGACTTTTCCCCAGGCCAGGGGCCTCCCCTGAGCACCACAGCCCTTTGTGGTTCTCCATCATAGCACACACCATGTTAGAAGGGCTGGCCGTGAGCTATCTCCTATATCAGACTGGTTGCTCCTTGAGGGTAGGACCTAGAGCTGAGCCTGTGTGAATCTTGTGGAACCAAATTCTCCCTTCTCAGAGCCGAAGTCTCATCCTAGATGCCGTGGGTATCATCCCACTGTCTAACCTTGGTCCTGGTCCCTAGAGAGCACCCCTCCCACTCCAGCCCCAGGCCCTCCCTGAGCCCGGCTCTGTTGCAGATGGTTCTCCAGGATGAAAATTTTGTCAGTAAGGAAGAGTTCCAGGCAGTGGAGAAGAAGCTGGTGGTAAGTAATGGCCTCTGCAGGCTCCTAATCTTCCCGCATTTCCTGGGATCCCTGTGGATGGGCACAGTTACTGAGTATTGGCCTCTGAGAGCCTCCAGCCCTAGTAGTGAGAACAGAATCTTCCTGGGTCCTGGCTTCCATGTGCCTCTCTGAGAAATAGAGCTGGTTAAGGGAACCGAGGAGACCCAGGGTGCCTTGGGGTTAATGAGGTCACTGCTGCTGCCCCTGCAGGAAGAGAAAGCTGCCCACGCCAAGACCAAGGTCCTCCTGGCCAAAGAAGAGGAGAAGTTGCAGTTTGCCCTCGGAGAGGTAGAGGTGCTATCTAAACAGCTGGAGCAAGAGAAGCTGGCTTTTGAGAAGGCGTGAGTGGGCCTTGGTAGGGGGGTGAAGGGTTGGGGGTCCAGTCTGCCTGTCAGCCTTCCCACCCTTTCTTATCTTCTCCACCCAGGCTCTCCAGTGTCAAGAGCAGAGCCCTGCAGGAATCCAGCAAGAAGGACCAGCTCATCACCAAGTGCAATGGTAGGCGGGAGGCCCGTGCCCCCCCCCACGCTTACATGCATGGGCTCTTCCCTAACAGCCTAGTGCCCGTGTCCAGGGCAGGGTTTCACCCCAACTTCTGCCCCCGGCTGAGGATACAGGCAGGCCCAGGCGGGCCACACCTTCGCAAAGGCCTTCAGGGACCAGGCAGGCCACGGAAATGAGGGAAGCAGTTGGTGTACAATATTCTTCATGGCCATAAAAGAACGGGCTCGCTCCCATTTTTCTTGAAACAAACGACCTTCTTAGTCCACCTTTTGTTTTCCCACTTTTGATGGGTATTAGAAATAGTGTACTTGACTCATAACTTATAAGAGGAACAACAGGGCAAGCGCAGTCCTATTTGGGAGCTGATCTCTAGTGTCAGGGTTGGGGACCCAACAGGGAGGAGTGGGGACCGTGGTGATGGGAAAAGCCATGCCACCTCTCAAGGGCTTAGTGCCTCTGCTGTGGGAATGGGGGCCCAGTATTGTCAGATACTTTTTTTTGTTTTTTAACAAAAACTTTTTTGACTTTTTAGTGTTGGCAGCTGATTTAGAAATTTTAAAACTATTGCATAGGCCGAGTAGACTATGTCTGTAGGCCATTAATTTTCATCTCTGCTCTGTGCCAGATGTCTGTGGCCACTTGTTGGCTCAGTTGGTGCTGTGAGTTTGGGGGCACTTTCTGTCAGCCATCCAGTGTCTCTAGATCTTAGGACCCCCTTTTTAGTTTCCCAGGACACTAAATTCCCTTTACCTGTTCATATCTATTAAGAAATAGATATGAATTCCATATGCAACCTGCTTCGTGCATTACAGCCGATTTTGAGTAGGCCAAAGACCAGAGCCCAAGTCCAAAAGAGATTCAGGGTCCCTCCTGATGGGCTGCCACCCGGAGTCTTGGGCACCCCGTACCCATCAATCCAGCCCTCTGTCTCCCTTGGTGAGTACTCTCACTGGTAAGATGCCAGCAGACTGATGTCTTGATCTGACTAGGTGGGCTGACAGGCCCCATGGCTGTTTGATCAAGGGCTCCCACTGGGGCCCCCTGGGGCTCAACAGGTAGTCACTGCCTCCATACCCAAGGCCACTGGACCCCAGTCCTTCCTCCCTACCTATCCCCCCCCCCATTTCCCTAAAAAGAACTTAGACTTCTTTCCTGGTGGTGCCAGAGCATTTCCTAGATACCCAAGGCCACAGGGCTCTGCTTGTGCAAGGTGCATGTGTGTATGCGATGGGGATGGAACCTGGCTGCCTCCCCCCAGAATGTCCCAAACCCCTCTAGTGGAACACAAGCCTGAGCAAATGTCATGACCTGAGCCTTCCCCTGGCCTGTGCCCTCCCCACCCTCCAACCTCCCTTTATGTGGGTTTAGTTTGGTTTTTACACTTACATAGTTTCTTATTTTTCTCAAAGGGATTTCCTAACCATTCTCTCATGAGGTGCTATTTATTTTAAATTTATCTCTCATTCGTTTTAAAAGATTCATATAAATTTCTGATGCCTTTTCCCAAAAGAACTTCACAATCAATCAGTCTGGGTGACCTTGGGAAGAAGGTTCAACAGTCCTGGTTCTGTGACCACATAGCTCATTTTCATTCTCTTCCTCCCCCTGTGTCTTTGCTTGTCTCCTCTTTTCTATGCCGTGCCTTAACTTTTTACCAAGCCTTTTCTTCTGAAACCTTCAATGCTTCAGCATTTCTGCATTTTTAGAGTTTGTGTTCTAGTTAATGTTCATCCAGTCTTTAAAGGCAATGAGATCAGAATTTTCCAGGGCTCCTCAAGGGACAGTTCATATAAATGAAGCACCCTCCAGATCCCTACAGCCTCTTTCAATTTTGATACAAGACACAAAAAATCATCCTTGCGTCTAATGAGCACTTAATGTGGGGGTAAGCTTTGCCACCACTATCTCCCTGGGAGCTCCTTATGCCCCTGTGGAACAGGGGCTGTCCCTGTCCCCATTACAGTTGAGGAAACAGGTCTAGAAAAGGAGGCGACTTGCCCAAAGTGGTAATACTGTCTCATCAATATTAACACTGTTGAAACATTGCCTTGTTCTGTTCTCTGATCAGTTTCTGAGTCTTAACTCTCTTTCAGGAGCTGCCTCCTTGAGGGTAGGGACCCTGTCTTCTCCCCTGAAGCCCTAGCACAGGGCTGGGCATCCAACTGGCCCTTAGTAGGTCTGCTGGGATTGAGATGACTGAACTAAGTGATATTCCTAAGTCCTAAGCCCCCAGAGGCTATCCTGTTCATTCATTCCACAAATAAATTTGTTGTGCACCTTCTCTGTGCCAGGTACTATTTTAGACCTTAGGGTTAAAGCAGTAAATTTAAAAAATCTTTATCCTTCTGGATTTATGGATATGAATCCCCGTAGGGAAGAAGACAAGTGAGTAAAATATATGGTATGTTAGCTGTAAGGGCTAAGAAAAAGCAAGCAGGGATAGGAACTATTAAGAGGGGATGTACTTTTAGATTGGGAAGGGTCTGGCCAAGGAGGTCATATCTGTACAGATCGGCAGGAGTGAAGGGCAGGAGCCGTTCATCCTCCTGCCTTTGGGCAGCACTGTCCACCTCTCTGCAAGGGCCTTCGTCTGCCCTCACGTGGGTCACCTGGTCCAGAATAGAATTGTGAAATCACTGACACATCATCAGACATTGCGCCCCTCAGCCACCATCCTGTCAAAACTCCATAATAAACTCATTCTTATAAGGTGTTAGCAGCTACTTGTGGAGAACCCCTGGGTGGGGGGAGCCAAGTTCTTAAAAGACCTGTAAGGGAATGAATGCCTTATCTCAGGAAGGAGCCCGTGGGATGGGAACCACCCCTCCTCCCTGCCTCTCTCCCCCACAGAAATTGAGTCTCACATTATAAAGCAAGAAGATATACTTAATGGCAAAGAGAATGAGATTAAGGAGTTGCAGCAAGTTATCAGCCAGCAGAAACAGATCTTCAGGTGAGGGGTCTGGGTGGGCCAGGCTGGGGGTTGTTGATGGAAGTGGGGAGCCAGCTCTCTGGCCCCTGCCCTAGACTGCCCCCAGCCCATGCCCAGCTGGCTCCGTTGCAGGAATCACATGTCTGACTACCGGATCCAGAAGCAGCAGGAGAACTACATGGCCCAAGTGCTGGACCAGAAGCATAAGAAAGCCTCGGGGACGCGTCAGGCCCGGAGCCACCAGCGTCCCAGGGAAAAATAAAATGGCCGTCACCTTCCGTTCACTGGCTGTAATGCCCGACCTCTGCCTTCTCTGCTGTGGGGGTTCCCGTCCCTATCTCCTATCCCTGTGGGCCCTGGCCTGTGCCACCACAGGCCTCACCAGTGACCTGATTCCCAGGGAAGAGGCAGGGGAAGAAGCAGAAGGTGCTCTTTTTTTTTTTTTTTCCTTGCTGCTTGCCTTCTGGAGGGCCTTGGTCATAGAAGGGAGAATCAAGTTACCAGGGGCCGGGTCGGGGACAGGCCTTGGACCACCACCTTGCAGGCCACTCCTGAGCTCAGAAAAGGATGATGCTCAAGTCTCCAGCCCCGGCCACTTCCTGCCCTCCCTTGGGTAGTCGGGGGAGGGGGGGTGTGGGGGTGTAGCCTAGGGGAGGACTACTTGGTTGTCTAATAGGCGCTGTCCTTCCTACTCTTGGTATTTAATCCCCTCCCTATGTAAACAGCTCTGGTTACCCCTGGTTACCTGTAAACACCCCACCCCACTCCCAGTGCCCTGGTAAATTTAACTCTCCCAACTTGGCTATAGAGCAGGAAGGGCTGTGTGTGGGGGGGTATGTGGGGGTGTGGGGGTGTGAGAGAGAGAGAGAGAGAGAGAGAAGCCCTGACCAGAGACATCAAAGGGGGTTCCAGGCCCACAGTGAATTTGGGAAATCCATTTCCATCATATGACAAGAATGTTATCCCGGTGAATCACACTTGTACCCTCTCACACGTCCCCCAAACAGAGGCCCGACTCTTCACAAGGAGAAAGAAGGGAGAAGGACAATGCTCTGTCTGTTTGTAAGTTGGGAGAACAGTCTCTGAAGGGGCAGTGACTTGCTAAGGTTACATAGGCAGGGCTAGGTGATGGGCCGGTTCGATCCTTTCACAAGGCATCACTGATGGCTAGGTGATCAGGGGGACACACCCAGGCAGGAGACCCACGGGAGGCTGAGTCAGATTTGTGAAGTCTAGCCTAACCTGGGTCAGTGTGAGGGTGAGTGCACGGGAAAGGGGGAGGTTCCGGTGCTTTTGCTCTAAGGCCAGCCAGGGCCTGAATCATAGCAGGAACTTGAAGCCAGAAGTCTAAAGGCAAATGGTGCCCATTGTCATTATCCCAGGACAGTGACAGGTGGTGGCTGCTTCCCCACCAGTGCCTGTCCCCAGGGTGAGCCCTGAGGTGGTGGGGGCTGGAGTGAGGGCCTTGCAAGTGCCTAGGGGAGCACAGAGCTCTTTCTGCCTCAGAGGGGCTTTAGAGAGGGGGCTACAGCTACCCCAAAGGGTCCTAAGAGACCCCACATCAGCATCTAGGGCTTGTTCTAGGTGCCAAGGCCACCTGTAAAAGCTACAGCTATCCACTCCAGCCCCTTCCAGTATGTTCCCACTAAAGGCAAGAAGTCCAGCCAGGGACAGCACCTTCCTGAGGCCCTAGCACTTTTGGATTTGGGGGAGCCCTCCAAGCAATGCTCCTCCATCAGAGATTGTGGGGTGATGGGTCAAGGAAAGTGGTGAGTGCACCCTTATGAACTCTAGCTGGGACAAGTGATGAGAGGGCCAGGGAGAAGGGGTGCACTGGGGTGATGGGAAGACACTGGGGGCTCAGGGGAAGATGAAATTGCTCAGAAGACCTGGGCTGCCCGACCCAAGTCTGGTCCTGGTCCCCTGGCTCACATTCTGATCCACACACCATGGTGCTTGACCTCAGGCAGGTGCCTGCTCAGCCTGTTTCCTAGCCTGTGAGGAGCGGAGTTAGGCCTAGCTCCTGGCTTCCAACTGGACACCTGCCCATCCCTCACCTTCCTGTCAGCCCGAGGCTGGAGAGCCGTCCTAGGCCTCTGGCCCGCACCCGAGGAGGAAGTTAGAAAAGTGAAGCCCAGGGCCCAAGGCTGTCCCGCTGGCGACGCCACCGATTCGCGAGGGGATGCGGCCGCTTTAAGGCGCGGTGACCCCACGACATCTGCGGGCGGGGCGGGGACAGTGCGGGCGTCCGCGGCACCGGCGGAGGCGAACGTGAGGGAGGTAGTGCGCGGCGTCCAGCCCCACCATGCTGACCGCGCTCGGCCGGCCAGCCCTGCCCAGGCTCCCAGGGCTGCTGCCTGCGGCCCCCGCCCGGCGTCAGGACTCGTCGGGTTCGTCAGGCTCCTACCACACGGCTCCGGGTTCTCCGGAGCCCCCGGACGTTGGGCCGGACGCAGAGTGCCGGGCGAATTGGCCCGGGGTGGCCCCTGCGCTGGGGGCGGGCGCGCAGCCTCGCCTGTCCGTCAGCGCCCAGAATAGCCTCCAGCAGCTCGGGCCCGGCTCGGGTTTCCCGCGAGGCCCGGGCTCCGGTCCGCGGCCACCCCAGCCCCAGCTGCGCATGCTGCCGTCGGGGGAGATGGAAGTCATCTTCGGCGCCGGGGCCCTGTTCAGCCGCTCGGACGCGGCGGATAGCGAGGTGCAACAACTCACCGCGCCGGCTTTCCGCAGCCTCTCTCCGCCCGGGCCCGCGACTCCGGCTCCCGCCACACCGACGCCCCAGACCCCCGACGGTGGCTCCCGCTGGGCCCCTTACCTGGAGCTGCGGCCCCGCGGGCCGAGTCCTGGGACCCCAGCGCAGTTCGAGTGTGTGGAGGTGGCGCTGGAGGAGCGCGACGCGCCCGCCAGGACCCGGACCGTGCCCAAGCGTCAGATCGAGCTGCGCCCCCGGCCCCGGAGTCCGCCGCGGGAGGCGGGAGCACCGCGCCCCCGACTGCTTCTGCGCACTGGCTCCCTGGACGAGTCCCTGGGCCGCCTGCAGGAAGCCGCGGGCCTAGTGCAGACAGCACTGGCCAGAAAACTGAGCCCTGCGGCCCCTGCCCCGGGCAGCGCCACCTTCGGGCCCACGGGGCGGCCGGAGTGTGCGACTCGGGAAACGGCCCGCAGTACCCGAAAGGTCCTGGAGGAGGCCAGGTCTCGGCCACCCCGCGTGAACTATAGTTCAGCCCCCACCAGGGCACCACGGCCGTGGCCGAGCCTCCGAGAGCGCGCGATTCGGCGCGACAAGCCCGCGCCGGGGACCGAGCCGCTGGGTCCGGTTAGTTCCAGCATCTTCCTGCAGTCAGGGGAGAAGACTCAGGAGGCTCACAGTCAGGAAGTCAAGACTCGGTTCCCGCGAGAGACTCTGGATCGACCCGTCCTGAGGGCACAAAGTCCGCCTTTCGAGTCTACGGCCCCCCAGGAAGTTCCGAGTAAGGCTGGGAGGCCAAGGAGCTCGTCCCCGCTGTGGCAGGCTCCAAATGGGACGGTACGGGGTCCACACTGCCCGTCCCCCCAGAATCTGCCCCCGTGGAATCGGGCTATTCGGAGGGTAAGTAGCCCGTCGTTCCCTGAGGCATCATCTGCATGGGGAAATCAGGATGCCGCCGTTGAGGAAACTGTCAGCAGAAGCCCTTCCCCACCGACCCTTTCCCAGTGGAATCACGGTGTTGCCAGGACGAGAAGCCCCTCCCCCGAAGCTCCTTCCCTATCGGAGGTTCAGCAACCCGCAGTTAGGAATTCCGCAGCGAGCTGTAGGAACCCGTCCCCGCTGGCCCTGTCCTCATGGGAGGCTCCAGATCGTACTAATGGGACGTGGAACCCATCTCCCCGAGAGACGTGGGATCGCACACTGCAGGGCTCATTTATGGTATCTGCGTCGGAAGCTCCGAATGGGATAGGACAAGAGGAGCTCGAGCTGCCTAGGCCGTCCGCACCCGGGACTCCCGAGCTCACAGAGGCGCCAAGGCAGTCCACGCGGGAGATGCGGGATCTTGCCTTCCGAGGCAGCCAGCCGGCGCTAGAAGTGGCTGCACCTGAGATGCCCCTCAGTCGCCCCGTGGGTACCCTGGAGGCCGATGTGCACCGGGAAGCCTTGGGCCCGGGAGAAGCCGCCTCCGGACGCCCGCGCGTGGCCATCCCGCGGCCCCGCGACGTGCGCAAGATGGTGAAGACCACGTATGCGCCAAGCTTCTCCGCGGGAACCCCAGCTTTGGGGCTGCCTGTGCCTCCTGCGGAACCCCGCGGGGAGGAGGGCGGCGCATCCAAGACACAAGTGTTCCAGGCGCTGGGGTCCCCAGCCCCAGCTCACTACACTTCTGTTTATCTCAAGGACTTTCTTCCGGTCGTGACGCACCCCTACGAGCCTCCAGAGCCGCCTCCTGACACAGTCCCCCGGGACGCTTCGCAGCCCAACGGGGTCCTGAGGCGGAGAGCAGAGAACAGCACGGCAAAACCCTTCGCGCGCACTGAGATCCGCCTGCCTGGTGCACTGGTCTTGGGCCGCCGGCCAGAGGGAGCCGGGGGGGTTCTGGCGCGCGGTGCTGGCAGAGAGAACCGGGACGCTGAGGCCCAGCGCCTGGTCCCCGACGGCGAGGGGCGGACCAGCCCTCTAGGCGGCGCTCGCACCTCACCCCAGCAGTCGCCCATCGGGCCGGCCGGGCCCCAACCACCTCGACCATCCTGCCCCAGCTCCCCTCAGGAGCACCCTAGCTCGAGCCCTCGGATAGCACCCAAACTGGAGGCTCCCCCTGTAGCCCCCGAGCCGGCGACTGAGGTCCGGTCGTCTGTCCCGCGGGAGCCCCAGGCGTCGGCCGGCAGAACCGCCCCGCCCCAGCCCCGTGCCGCCTCGGCGCCTCCGATGGACCGGTCCCCTGAAGGCCCCTACCCGGGGGCGCGCAGGCCACCTGGGACCGCGTACGCGGGGAAGGTCCTGGTGGACCCCGAGAGCGGCCGCTACTACTTTGTGGAGGCGCCGCGGCAGCCTCGGCTACGGCTGCTCTTCGACCCCGAAAGCGGTCAATACGTAGAGGTGCTGCTGCCGCCGTCGCCCCCGGGGCCACCCCGCCGCGTCTACACCCCGCTGGCCCTGGGCTCTGGCCTCTACCCGCCCGCCTATGGGCCTATCCCGGGCCTCTCAATGCCGCCGTCCCCCGGCCCACCGGCCTTCAGCGGCCCCCATGTACCCTGGGCCTCCGAGGCGGGGCCCCTGGACGGGATGTACTACCTGCCAGTGAGTGGAACCCCCAGCCCCGCTCCTCCTCTGCTCCTCTGTGCTCCGCCCAACAGTTCAGGTCCAGCCCAGCCCGGCAAGGGGTCCTTGTTCCCCGTGTGAGGCCCCAGGGCCTGATCCGCAGGATGTTGGGGCCTGTTTGATAGCCTTGGAGGTTCTAGCATCCAGTCCCCTGCCCTCCTTTCCTTCTATCAGCTCTTTCTTTTACCCATCCCGCCCAGTCTTCACACTGGAAGTTACCTTCAGAGAACGTATCAGACTTTGGGAAGGATGGAGCTGGGACTCAGAAAGTGGCTGCCTACTTCCTCCCCCAACAAAATTGTATACTCCTTTCCCAGGCATTCCCAGAGTGTGGTGTGTTTGCGTGCGTGTGAAAGTGAGGCGTCTCAGGAGTTGTTCCTGGGAGCTGACTTGAGGGCGTGTTGGGAGTTCACTAGGGGCAATAAGAAAGAGGATCAGCAGAGGTCGGGGCTGCCCCCGGAGGTAGGGAGCTGTCTGTCCCTCCCGGAAGGTGACCCAGCTGAGGAGGAGCAGGCTAGGGGGCGCCGGTGGATGGAGGGAGGACTCTGACTAGCAACTCTGGTACTATTTGGAAGAGGCTCTGAGCCTAGGCCTGAGAGGCTGTGGGAAAGTGGCCAGTGCAGCCCTTTGGCCAGGCTGACTTGGAGAAAGGGAGCTGAGGGGACAGCCGGTGGAGATGGAGCAGGGATGTAATATGGAAGGGGCTATGGAGGGTCAGCCTGGGAACTGGGGTTGGGTGGGGAGGCAGCGGTAGTCTCCAGCTGGGAGCCCCACTTCCCATCCTCCCCTCAACCTCGGCATCTGACTTGCCTCTCTAAGCCCTCGATGCTGAGCAGGCTCATCCTGGGGCCAGGAGTGGAGCCTTAAGCCATTCCCACCCAGGGTGGGGGGACAGATGAAGTGAATCATCAGGCAGGACTTAACAAGCAGGGAAGATTGGTTAAGCCTCTGGGTGTAGTGGAGGGTGGGTTAGGGCTGGCAGTAGAAGGGATGCCATGAGGGTGGGGAGCAGGGCAGGGAGACCTGGAGCCCTCAGCTTGTTCCCCTCCCTCCGTAACAGATGTGGCAGCCATGCCCAGAGAGGGCCTAGCTCAGCGGGCTGGTCACGGCAAGGAAGGAACAGGACCTGAAGCATGTGTTCTAAATTAGAACATTGAACCTTGAGATTGCTGGAGCCTCTGAGGAGGGCTGAGAGAGATGCATGTGGTAGGAGGTGCTCTGCGGTGGGGGGTCTGTGTGTAGTTCTGAGCTTGGAGGGGCGGGGCCTTGCTGAACTGATATGTGATGTGATGAGTCTGGGGAAGAACAGTTCCCCCTAGAAGCAGTTGTTAGGGATGGAGATTGATGCCTTACTTAAGTTCCAGGCCTCTGGGCACTCTGGGTCCCTGGAAGTCCCTGCCTCCCTGCCTTGGGCTGGAAGCTGACTGCGAGAGCTGTGAGGCAAATTCACCTGAACAACTTCTCATGGCCAAAGATGCTGGTTCTGATGGCATGGAGGGCCCGGGGCCCCTACTGGTCCCCTCACCTCATCCTGGTGTGCAATAAATCACTGACCTAATGAGCCATGATGCTTGGAACAGCTCGTGTAAGTTGTCTGATTTCTGATTTCCTGCTGTGACCTCTGACACCCCCTATAATGTTCTTCCACGCCTGAGTATGATCTGGGTGGAGAGGGCCCCAGGGCCCAGGGAGGGAGCCCATGTGTGTCTTTCATGCGCTGTGGCATCCTTGCCTCCGCAAACCTGCCTCCCAGGGAGGGAGCCCTAGGCCTGCAACCATGCCCGTGGACTCATTCTCCCTGGTGGCTGGGTGGCCAGTGGGGTCAATCAGGCTTGGGTTCTAACTTGAGTATGGCCCTTCTAAGCTGTATAGTCTTGGATTCATCACTTCTCTCTGAGTCTTCATGTGCTCATAAAAATGACACTAACTAACCACCTCTTCCCCCAGGGTACTCAGTACAGTGCCCACCGAGTGGCCAGATCCCAGGACATGGGAGGGGGTCAGCCCCCATGTGTCCCTGCGCAGGCCCAGCCCCCCTCCTTACGTCACTGTTCCCTATTTGTGAAATGGGGCTGAGTTGGCTGCAGCAGAGATCCCAGTAGAGGAGGTGCACACGTGGCATCTCTAGGGCACTGGGGGAAGGAAGAGAGTGGGAGGGGTGAGGTGTTAGTTCCCCATTGGTCTGGGTCAGTCTTTCCGGGGTGGCCCCCAGAGCACACAGGCACATGCACACCTGCGCCCCAACCACAGCCCAGGCTCACTGAGCCAGATCCACTGACCATGAGGCTGTCACTGCCCCTGCTACTGCTGCTGGTAGCCTGGGCCATCCCAGGGGGCTTTGGGGACAGGGCCCCACTCACAGCCACGGCCCCACAGCTGGACGATGAGGAGAAGTACTCAGCTCATATGCCTGCTCACCTGCGCTGTGACGCCTGCAGGGCAGTGGTCTACCAGGTAAGTACTCCCCCGCTGCCGTTCCCCTGCCCCTGTCCAGGTCCCTCCTGAAGCCAGGCCCCTTCCATCAACCTCAGATTCTACCACTGGCCTTCGATTTCCAAACCCCCACCCCTGGGCCCTGAGCTAGACTCAGCTTTCCACGACATTGCCATCTGCACCTCACCCAAACCTCCATGCCTCAGTTTACCCATCTCTCAGCCCAACAGAGAGCAAATAATCTGGGACACCCCACAGTATCTTGAGACCCCAGGGCGTCACCCACTTGTCCTTGCTGACTCCTCCCTTTCCGGGCTTATCCTCAGGTCTGGGACTCCTTCTCCAGCTGGCAAGCCCTGGTGTATATGTGCATGTGTGCCCATGGGTTGAGTGCATGAATATGAGTATGCGTGGTCTTGAGTTCACACAGAAACCTGTCAAGCATGCCTGAGTACCTCTGTGGGGGGAGGGAAGCCGATGAGTACACGTGTCCCTGAAGACCGGGCTCTGTTTTTGTTTTTTTGGTTTTTTTCCTTTCCTCGTTCTTACGGTTTAAAATATCATGGCTGATGGGCAGGTGTGTCCTGGGGAAGGAGCTCCACTGTTCAGGCCTACCTTCACACCTCAACATTTCCTACCCACCCACCCCAACCCAGGGAAGTGGACCCTACCTCAGCAGATCCAGTCCCAACTTTCAGAACCTGGGGGAGGGCCCAAAACTCTCCCTTGGCACCTCACTCTCTCCCGGACACCCAGTCTTCTGTCTGACCCTCCCCTGCCATTGAGCAGTCCCGAAGCCTTGGCTCTCAGCCCCTCCTTGTTCTAGATGTGGCAACATTTGGCAAAGGCAGAGGCCAAGCTTCACACCCCAGACTCAGGGGGACAGCGGCGGGAGCTGAGTGAGTCGGTATACACAGACGTCCTGGACCAGAGCTGCACCCAGACCTGGCAGGGGTGAGTCAAGAATTTGGCCCCTAGGACCCTCCTCTAGGGGTAGGGCTGATGGGTAGAGGCTCCCACTCTCCCACTCACCCCAGATACACAATCCACTAGGGCTTTTGTCCAAGGGAGGGGGCTGGCTGGGATGAAGTCTGAGGTCTGGAGCTGGGGGCAAGTAGAATGCTACATGTCCAGGGGACAAGGTTGCTGTGTGACCTTGAGACAGGGGCTTTCCCTCTCTGGTTCTCAGTTTTCCAACAGGGAGGATCAGAATCTGCATTCTGAATTCCGCAAATGCCCCGTGTCCCCAGCTTCATGTGGGGATGTATCCCTTGCTGGCAGGGCTCCCACTAATACTGTCTCCCTCTCCTTCCTACTGTTTCCAGCTATGGGGTCCAAGAAGTGAACCAGGTGAAACGTCTCACGGGCCCAGGACTCAGCAAGGGGCCAGAGCAAAGCATCAGCGTGATGATCACAGGGGGCCCCTGGCCCACCAGGTGATGACAGGGGTGTGGGGGTAGGTTGGAGACCTTGGAGCCTTGATCAGCTCCCTGAGGGGCAGGCAGGGTCTGAGGCTCCTGTTGGGCTCCCCTAGGCTCTCCACGACATGTTTGCACTACCTGGGGGAGTTTGGAGAAGACAAGATCTACGAAGCCCACCAACAAGGCCGAGGGGCTCTGGAGGCATTGCTGTGTGGAGGACCCCAAGGGGCCTGCTTGGAAGAGGCGACTGTCACAAGGACAGAGCTCTAGTCCAACTCCTTCCCCTTCCTGGTCAGTCTCTGAAGAGAGCTGGGGTGTCCTCTAGATCTGCCCAACTCCTTTCTGCAGGCTACCTAGAGGGCAGGAAGGCCATGCTTTTCTGTGCTGCCATGGCCCCTCCCTCCTCCAGCTTCAGGACATTGGGGCCATGTGTGTGTCGGGGGTGGGGTGGGGGGTAGGCCTTCCCTTCTGGACTAAAATAAAATCCAGTGACCTCGATTTCTTCCTTCTCTCTCTCTGCAAAAGGTGCTTGTGAGGCTAGGAGGCCAGACATTGGCATTTCTGCTGATGTTGTACCTAGAGAGGGCCAAATACACTTATTTCCCACCAGTCTCCCAGAGGTAGGTGAGATGTGTCCTGGGTGGAAATGTGAGCGAGCTGTCAAAGGCCTATGGGACTATGGTGAAACCCCAAATCCATCAAGAGAGAAAAACCAAGGAAAACCCCATGAGCAGACTACCTTGTAGACACGCCTACTCAGCCACTGCATGCTATCTGGGCCTCTCCCTGAACACTAGTCTAACTGGGTCTATTCCCAGCGGCTGCTCAATTTCTGGACTCTACCTCTGACCCCAGCTGACAGGGTTGGGCCCTAGGTGTCTGCCTGGGCCTGGGCAGGGCAGGGTTCCTGGAACGAGCTGGATTCAGTATCTTGGCTCTCGGTCCTGCTCTCCCCAGAAGTTCTTTTGACCTGGGACCTTTCCTCAGCAATGGAGGAAAGCACCCCACCTGGGCCCCACCTGAGAACGGGAACCTGTGGGCAGGCCGCACTCTAACTTATCGTTTCCTTCGTGAGTATCTCCCTGATCTGCTGAAGGTGGACAGACCTGGTAGGTGGACAGAACAGACACTCGAATCCCCAGCTGACAGACACTGAAACTGAAACTTAGCAAATAAAAGAGGGGGCATCTGGGTGGCTTAGACAGTTAAGCATCCGACTCTTGATCTCGGCTCAGGTCATGATCTCGGGGTTGTGAGCTCAAGCCCCAAGATAGACTTAGCGCTGAGGGCGGAGTCTGCTTCAGATTCTCTCCCTCTCCCTCTGTGCCCCCCCACTTGCGAGCGGGTGTGCTCTCTCTCAAGAAAGAAAAAGAAAGAAAGAAAGAGAAAGAAAAGAAAGAAAGAAAGAAAGAAGG